AGCAGTGTTCAGAGCGATGAAAAACTGATGTATTTATCAAGTCTTGCCTACGGATTGTAGGAAGAGGTTCGAAGGTCACTCATTCCAACTGTTTAGTTGTCTGCCATGCGCACCTCCAATCCCGCCTGAAAATCCGTTGGCCGATACACCTTTCATGGATGTTTTGTCATTCTACCACCAAAACAAAAGGGGGACCCGGAGAGCGTGAAATGGTGTATTGGCTAGACGGCCGTGTATTGCTACTTTTTGAACAAAGTCCACCATATCTAAAGGTTTACTTCTGCGCATTTATATGTTTCCGCGTCAAACGTAGGTCTACTTTTCTGAGTTGTTCTTAACGACAGTGCTTTACTTAAAGGAGACTTTAGTTCCGATCCCGATTTTTTCTTCCAGGGCAGAAAGCCGACTTTCAGTTGAACGCATGTACGGTCGACTGCGCAAGTTAGGTCCTAACTAAAGTAAATATCTAAAAATAAAACATTTAAAAAAAAATTCCTATTTTTTGGTTCACCCACATCTTCTTTGCGACGGTGACGGTGGCTGAAAAATTGATTGTCCTCTGACTCAACTGAGAAAACTTGGCGCCCTTGATGCTGCCAGAGTCAGTTTCGGTGGTGGAGCCGCTGGTGGTGGGCGCGCTGGACCGCGGGGTGTGAATTGGGCTAGGCGTGGTGGGTGCGCTTGGTGTGTCAAGACTGCGGCGAATTCCGCTGTCGTGGATACGCACATGGACGAGTAGGCCCATGCGTTGAGTGGATGTGCGTGGGCGGATGCGACGAGTGTAGGTTGGTGCTGCAGGCAAAGTGACCGGTCAGGCAGATGCGTGAGGTTAATATGCGGTCGCAGTGACAGGACTGAGTCCACATCGTCGGAGGTGAGGGCGCCGGTGGTGATGAAACTTCGGGCGTCTTCCCATCGGTGGGGTGGGGCTGAGTGATGTCGTGGTGTTGGTGGCGCTGTTCTTTGTGATCGACGCAGGGGTTGGGGCAGAGCGGGTGCAGTTGGTGATTGATGCCGACCAGGCATAGGCAGTTTGATCCACGCTGACGGGGGTGGCGGTTAGGCACGAGGTGTGGACCAGGAGCGAGAGTGGGAAAAGAAGTAGACAACGTTGGATAATTGACACATTGGGTCTGAGGGTGACCCACGAGACAGGATGGCGCGCGGAATGTGCGTTGGCAGAGCGGACATGTTGGAAGCGGTTGATGGTTGCCACTGAGGAGGCGAGGCACATGCGACTTGCGAGTCTCCCTTTTGGCTCTGGAGCGGTGGGGACTCGATTTGTTTCGTAGATATCAATGTCAGTCTTCTCTTCTCTTCACCATGCAGATCTGTTCTGAACTAGATCCTCCTAGGTTCCTGGGTCAATCTGCCCTTGTTTCAGAGAGTTCTTCAAAATGTCCTTATGGCGTCGTTTCTGGCCTCCTGATCGACGAGTACCCGTGACGACATTACTAAAGAAGATTTGGTTTGGTAGACGCGTGTCTTCCATCCTCATGCAGTGGCCGCTTCAATGCAGCTGCAGTTGTCTCAGCATCGCGTGAATGCTGAGAATTCAGGCCCGTCTTAGAACTTCCGTTTCCGGGATCATGTCTTGCCATCTCAGTTTTAGCATTCTGAGAAGGCAGCTGAAATAGAAGTGACTGATCAAAAGAAGAGGAGGCGTTGCCCACAGGCCCGACTCAACAATCCGCCGGCAAGTGATGCGGCCAAAAGACCCGATCCCTACATAGGAGATGTCGGCTGTTGTCTACCGACTTCAGTGCAGCTGCGGAATGTGTAACTACGTTGGGGAAACCGGCCGACGGCTGCAAACGCGCATGCACGAGCATAAGTTGGCCGTACGAAGGTTGGACACAAAGTCGGAGGTAGCAACCCATGCCGCCCAAATGGGACACATCTTCAACTTTGACGCCGTTGAAATTGTGGGCCGAGGGGATGATCATACGGCAAGGCAGGTTCAAGATGCCTACATGTCTACCGACTGTTCTGTCAACCGCCACATCAACTTACCTCCCCCTTATCTGGTTTTACGGACATTCTTGACGGGGGACAGTCACGGCGCGGGACAATCGGGGCCGCCAATTATCACCGCGGCCGACGAAGATGGGCGGGATTCAGGTCACAGTGACATGCGGATCGGATGCAGCCACACAGGCGGCATTGGTGGGCCAGGCATTGAACAAAGTGCGCCATAAAAGGAAAGCTGTGTGCACGACTGCTCAGTCTCCGCAGATGGGTAGAAGAAACGACTACCCGAAACGTCAGACCTCAAATACACCTCTCCCGGTGAACGCCTCCTCTTCTTTTGATATGCCACCCGGGAATCGCATTTTCACTACTACAGAAGTGACTGAGTTTCTTGGCATGGTTTGGGTAGACAGTCCAGGTATCCGCTCCGCAGAGAAGTGTCGTCAGGACGACGGCCTCGTACATCTTCAATTTGGTATTCAGTAAGGGACCATGACGATTCCACACGGAGTTCTTCATCTGGCCGATAGCTTGGCCGGTTTAGGAAATTGGTGGGTCTGTAGAGACCAGGCGGTGAGAAAGTGTGTAGTCTGTGCACTACAGTTATCAAGTCAAATCCCATATTGGAAGGAAAAGACAGAAGGCACCAGAATGAAGGGTTTATAGTGCACAGAAACCGAAGTTGTCCTCTCAGGCGGCAGTGGTCACTGGCGAAGCCAGGGCTGGTGTTGACTGCGTCCAGTCATGCCTGAGAGTCCCCGAGACGGTGGTGGCAGAGGCTTTTGTAGGCTCTTGGGCCAAGCTCGTGGTGCCCAGTCGGTGTGTGTTGAATTGCGGAGGAGTGGTGTCCCAGTGGCTTGTTTTGCCGGTTGCAGGAGCTGGCGCGTTCAAGTGGCGCATGGGTAGCCAGGACGCTGTGTGGACGCAATTGTGTCCGAGCTGAAGTCGGTCGAGTGGCTTCAGGTCAGCGCGTCTGGGACGGCTCGCTGCAAGGGGTAAATGACCTTGAGGCGGCGAGGTCTCGATCAATGACACCAGACCAGTCATGATGGCTGCCACTACAGGTCGCTTCGTCACACACGACACATTTCGTTGTCTCACATTAACTGACAAGTTGGCATAGCTTGGAATGTAGTTTCCAGACATAGTGAAACTAACGGCGGAATGTCCCGTCCAATTTGCAAAGTCATCTGAGCATTCTGCTGTTTACGGCACTTTGTTTGTACCAGTCCGTCACCCTCTTCAAAAAAAACTAAATATGTACGGGGCTTCTGCCTGGACAACGGTTTTGTACGGGACGGGTACGTAGTTTGTCTATAAAATCCAAAGAAGCAGTCTCAATCATTGTCATCTAAGTTTCCTTCGTTCTCAATATCTGCGCCAAGCTTAGGCAGGTTCGATTGCCTTCGAATGTGAGAATGGATGATGAATTCGCGCCAAAGTGACTATTCAACAGCGGTGATGCTACGGCGGTGTGTTCCAAGGCGCAAGAGGTAACTACTACCATAAACGTCCGTTGCGTCAACCCTTCCACCTCTATTCCCTGCATCATTGGGCCTCATTACGAGAATACCTTTCGGACACGAACGACAGCTACAGCCATCCACAACACCACTGTCCTCGGTACTACTACAACTGCCACCAGCAGTGTGAACAGAAACCCAGCCTGTCCCGTATTTCAGGTGCTCACAGACTTGGTCGGTCACCTGCTAGTTTACTGCACCGTGAGAAGAATGCTGGTGCCTGAGGTGGCTACTTACACCCATCGTGCACGCCTTTACAGACCACAGGCCACCCGCACATCCAGACACCGTAGTGACCTGTTTTGTCATGTGCACAGGAGTGAAATTTCACAATGTACACGCCTGCTCAAACAGGTTCGCTAAAACTAACGGGTGTCATATTGGTACGCTTTCCGGCCTGCTTAAGGTCTGCTCCTACCTGTAATTACAGCCATACATGTGCATGACACATCTTAGACGGCAGCTTTTGCGTCATGTTAGCCAGCGTGCTAGTCGGCTTAAGTCTGACAAACCACAGGACATGAGACCGATAGTAGCGAAGCCATCCTCATGGCAAATCAGCATATGTCTGACTAAAATAGATTTAGCGCACATGAATCCACATCGACGCGCTATCAGTTGTGGCTTGAAGGTTTTTTTTAGAGGAATGCGCTTTATTTTGAAATCGTATGTTCAAAATTTTCAGCAAAAAAATTGGCTCCATTCACTATGGGCAGTTAATAAGTTAATGAATTATTCAAGAGTCAAAGCCTAACACAAAGAAACAATTATTATGGGGATAGTTCAAGTCTTAGTTTCTGTATTTCTGTCTCTTCGCACGTAAGATAGCGCGCTAGGAATGGCAATACAGAAGCTCGATAAGCCGATGTGCGACAGGATATAAGTTGGAAGTTGCGGCGCATCGGGCGGGAAGACTCGGCAGACATAAGATCGGAATGTAGGGGATGGGCAACGTCATCTAGAATTCGACCAGCAAATTGCTTGACCGCATTGAAGTGTCGTTGTAAGATAGTGTCAACTAAAAAAATATAAGAAACACCAGCAGCAGAAGACAGCATGCGGAGGACTCGTTTCAAAATTAAAAGATCCTTTTTTAACAAAGCAGGAAAAATGACAGGAGAACAGTATAGGATAAGAGGAAGAATGCAGGCATCAATGAATCGCCAGACTAAGGGTTGAGGTGTGTGGTAGGAAGGTAAACGACGTATGTAGTAAAGAACTTTACGAACTTTAATAAATAGGGACTCAATATGGAGGGAAAATGAAAAATTTGAGGAACAAGTAACGCCGAGATACCTGAAAGAGGATACTTCGTTGGAAGAATGTCAGAGGAATCAGGGTTAGGAGAGGGCCGCAGTCGAAAAATACACTGAACGGATTTTTGGTTGTTAATTAGGAGACCATTTTCCTCCGACCAGGCTAGGACATGGTTTAGGCCATCTTTTAGAGACCGGAGGTGTGTCTGACTTTTGAGAGGGTGTCCAACAACCACATCGTCAGCATATTTGACCAGAAGACAGTCATTAGGGGACCTGAGATCATCAGTGTGGAGGGAGAAAGGTGAGGGGATAGAATGGAACCTTGAAGAACACCGCAGTCGTTGGGAAGGGTCGAAGATTTCCGCTTGCCAGATTGGACAAATTGGGTGCGGAAGGTAAAATAATCGCTCAGCCAAGAGGCAACCCAGCCTGGAGAGCCATATGCGGAAGTTTTGGAAAGGAGAAGAGGGCGCGGGACGGTATTGAAGGCGGAGGACTAATCAAGAAAAGCGCACGCATACTCGCGGCAACCCTTGTCTAATGCTCTTAGAGCAGAGTGGACCACAAGAGCGACAACATCTAAAGTACTCCGTTTAGCTTGATGTGCTAGCTCGGTCCAACTCAGGCATCATAGCCAACTTTGTCAACCACTGCATACGAAAACGACACCTAAATGTCGGCGAGCTCTTCCGTACGTGAAGAACGTCTCGGATGCCGTCAGTCGTCTTATCACTCCACTGGGAGTGGGGGTTGCACACAGGCCGGAAGCAAGCATCAGGCACCAAGTCAGGAGGCCAAAAGACCCGCTGCTACAGCAGGAAGCTTTTGGAGTCGTTTACCGGATCTGGTGTAGTTGCGGACGAAGCAACTACGTTGGATGGATGGCTGAGCCCCCAGCAGCGATGAGGAGGAAAGACGCCAGTTCTCAGGTGACGGTTCACTCCACGGAACCCGGCCATATTTTCAACTTTCAAGAGGCCGGAGTCCCCGTAAGTGCTGACAACCATGCGAGCTGCGATCTGCTCGAGTCATGGTTCTCAGGCCTACAATCCATCAACAAGCGCAATGACCTTCCGGTGCTATATTCAGTGCCGAGGCATTCCCTAGCAGGGAAATCAGTCACGTCGGGAGGGCGTGGGCGATCAATTACTCCTGTGACAGGGAGGCAAATCACCCAGTCATTATCACGTGAACGTCCAATGCGAATGATGAAATTGCGGCCATTAACGACTCGGACGCGGACTGACAAGCCATTATCGTCTTAATTACGACA